AATTTTACATAATTTTTTAAAAATGAGTTTTCGTCGAGAAATGAATAAAGGCTTCATTTGAGCGAAAATGGATCATGTCTATTTTAGTCTTACTGCTGTATTGTAATCGCCTGATCTTATTGATTACGTGATATTATCTGTTACTGAATCTGTTACTGAATCTTATTATTCCCGAAATCAATAACTTATCGACTTCGGCCGAATAGATTTCGGAAAATTTTTTTAGGGTGTCCCAGAATTTATGAAAACAGCTGTAACTGTCGGCGAAATAAACATGTCGGTGAACTAAACATGTCGGTGAACTAAATGTCGGTAAAATGATTGTCTGTGAAATAAACATGTCGGCGAATTAATTGTCGGTGAAATGAGGTGTCTGTGAAGTGATTGTCGGTGAAATGCGCACCACCCGGCAGGATAATAGCAAAAGCACGTGACCGAAGGCCTCGTGCGTTGCAATTATACTGTCGATGTCCATGATCCGCCAGATAACTAGTTTATCTGGCAGGTATGAAGTATACACTTACGGAAAGAATTTTCGCAGATTTTTATATTAAAATTAGGACGATTTTAATACTCACCGGAGGTGAAATTCACCGGGTGCTATATCTCAAAAACGTACTAAGTAAACGGGATCGGGTACTCTAAGTAAAAATGTTCAGGACCCTCGAAAACCTCACGAGAACTGAAATCGGGACCTTATATCAAATTTACACTATGTTATATAAAACTCCTCCTTTATCTTAAAACCGCACCCTAACCCTAAAAATTCTTAGGCTGGTTATTTTCACCTCTGGTTAAATCTAAATTATTTCTTAAAATTAATAAGAATTTGTCACATGATTTTAATAAAAATTAGCGGAAACAATGTAAAAATTTTTCCGTCAGTGTTTACATAGTACCTGCCGGATAATTAATAGCTATCAGGTAGAATGTTGATGATATTCCATTTGTTGACTCAGATCATGCCGCTTTGCAGCATGATCTGAATGATCTGAGTCAATCAAATGGCCGCTAAATGATGCTATCCGGGAGTGGTCATTGATGAATTTAAACAATCATTAATGTAACATTAAAAAAAAATAAAAAGAAGATATATATCCAAAAAAAGAAATATTAAAATTCCGAACCATGGAATAAACATTGATATACCTAATATGGATAAGATGATCAATAGATGATCAATAGTAACTACCGGATAATTAGCATTAACTCGCTCTATTCAACAGTTTTTTCTTAACAATGTACGTACAGAAAGTTGTATCCAAGAATATAACAATATGATTGAGCAGAAGAATATCACAGCGTCAATATAAATAAATAAAAAATTGCATAATTGTTAAATAAATTTTTCTTCCAATACATTCTTATTTAGAGAGGACAAGTTTTTTTTTTGGAGATCTCGTTATATAAATTTTACCTAAGGCCATGCAAATTAAGTTAGTTGTTTCTCGTTACATGGGACAAACAAATAGGACCCGGCCGGCAAAAAATGTTATATTAAAAATTTTTTTTTCATCCAATAATAAAAAATTTTATATAGAAAAAAATTTTAACTTTTTTAAAAAAGTTACCCGGCCGCGTAACGAGAAACAACTTTATTTGTTTGCATGGCTTAACATATGTATTTATTCCATGAAGGAATTCTTGGAATTCTTTGCACTTAAATAATGTTACACGAAAATAAAATTGGAGACAACCGCAACGAAATTAAATTACTAACCGTCATATAATTGCCATTTCATCTGAAAGTTTTATCAATCAAACGCCAAAAGACGGGGAATGTAAACAAATTAAATATTATTGAAGAATTAAATATTTTCGAAGACAAATCTTCGAATGTTTACCTAAGCACGTGTCAGTGTTATATAATTAATGGAATAGTAACTTAATATCAACAAAAAAATAAAAAATAAAAAATCTTTTTCTATTCAACAAAACTTCTAAAAAATAATGGATTCTACTTATGGTTCAATCCATATTAATGACCAAATTGAATCAATCGAACCAGTATACAAGCCGCCAACAATAACACAATCTTTAAATGTTGCATTATACTCATCAAAGTTAAATGTGTTATTGATATTTGTTCCACTCGGATTTTTGGCTCATTATTTTGAATGGAATATTGCTATAATTTTCATATTAAATTTTCTAGCTTTGATACCACTAGCAAACTTGCTTGGGTTTGTTACTGAAGATATTGCAAACCGATGTGGTCAGGTAGATTTTGTGA